GAGCCGGCGGATCGACCTCGATCGATTTGCTCGAGATTGTCCCTCGATCATCTCTCAAATCGATTCGAACGAGTATACTGATTGCCGGACGCCTCGATTTTCGGCGTCCGCCGCTCGAAACCGGCCATTCGATCCCGTTCAGAAATTTGTATCCATCATGTAGCTGACCTTTCGAGTTCGTTCATGAAACGGGTCATCGATTGGCGAACGCGAAAAATCTCGCATCGATATAATTGTATTAATCCCGCAACTACCGACAAAGATGCTCCTCGAACCCGCGTGAATCGAAATTATTTCAATCACCGAATTCGCGAAACGCTCAACGCGTGATTCATAATATCGTATGCTAGGATACTAATCTTTTAGATAAGCCGAGATAAACGATTACCGGGCGACGAACGCGTCGAGATGGATCGTGTTTGGAGACTTTGGTTAAACCTCTGGCAATCGGTTAAGGTCTTGAAATTCCCGCAAACGAATTTTTCCGCGACCCCAGGACAGTGTACTGCAGCGAAGGAAACTCGTCCATCTCGTCCTAGATTCTCCATCGGACAAATTAATTCCCCAGAAAGCGACGAAAATTTCAACGGAGCCAGCTAACGAACGCCTAGCTGAGACGATGAGCGAAAAGTTTCCTCGATACAGCAGAATTGTCCGAGTTCACGACCTATCCGTAGTTTACGAGCGATCCGACGCGTCCTGGCGAGGAAGCAACGAGAACCCTGCTTCCGGCTATCTCCGGAAAGCACCTCGGCTAGATCTCGAGCATTCGAAACGGGGGAATACGTGGAAACGAAACGCTCCATTCGGCCCGGTTATTATCGCGGTCTTGGCCGAGCGGTCGCCACGGGTTTCCTTGAGTCGTCCGCCAAGTGCGCGCCTGATTGGACGGACACGAAGGATGTCGTGCCACCAGGATACGCGATAAACCGACAGGCGATAAAGTTCACCGAGGCACCGCAGCCCAGGGATTTCTGAAATTCCACTTTGCGGAAGCCGAGGATCTCGTCCAGCTTTCCTTCTATGACCGTGGACAGCTCCATCTCCGGCTCTGCCAAGCTTGGATCTTGCCTCTCGAAACTCGGGAAACAACGTTCCTTCCTTGATCTAAGGACCGATACACGCCTTCTCGATGTCGCCACGATGCGAAGTTACCGCCCGATTCGGCCGGTCCAGGTTGATTTCCTTGAGATTCAAGGGTGAACTCGCGTGGATCCGGCACGGAAGGTCCCGATTGGTCGACTGCGACGACGGGGAAATAAGTAGCAAGACGCAACAACAGTCGTGGCTGTCTGGGACGACGGTGGCGACGGATTTACGAGTTTAATTAAGTTCTGCGGTCGCGTTCGTCATTTCGGCGAGCATCGAAGCCTCGTTTGCGACCAGCTTTCATCCCGCGCACCGTCACTTCGGGTAAGCGGAAGGTGCATCGAAATCCGTAGAAATTCCAGCAGGTGGAACCTGTCTGAGAGCGTTTCTAAAACACGGGGACAAGATTCCAGTCTCGTTGGAATCGTCGGGGAAACGATGTACGAGGGGTGTTGATTGCACGCTTTCGTAAATGTGTCACGGATCCTTTAGTATTCCCGCGGCAAGTTTAAGCTTGTACGTTAATAACCTGCTGATAGAGCATGATAGGGGTTGGCGTGTTGCGAGGGAGACTCGCGAAAGGAGTGTATGTGACACTTTCCTAATTGCCTCGCAACTTCTCTCCCTCGCACCCCCTAAGAAAGGTAACCCTTATTCCCGTTCCCTGGGAGACCTCAGACGCTTCGAAGGCGCCGACGCCACGAAGAAATTTAATCAACCACACGTGATACCAGCCGCGAGGATTAAAAAGAAGTCGCGTTCGAGAGAATGGCAAGACTTTCCAGATGAAATTCTATGCGAATCCGGCCGCAGCTTGACATTAAACGACGAAGACTTCTGCTCCCTCTTCCTCTCCCGCCGTCTGCCACTGGCACAGTGTCGTTTAACTAAAATTCCCAACCATCCCGAGGAGTCGTAACGATTCCGTACAAGCGCGAGCTAGCCCTCCCCATTCAGCCACCGTCGGACAAAATCTAGGGGAGCACGACGATCATCGGTAGGCGAAGAAAAAGGCAGAGGACTGAGCGGAAAGCTAGTCGTGACCTACGCTATTCATGGAAGCACGCGGGAATTGCGAAGTGGTCCTCATCTTCGAGGATTTCTGCCACCCTCGTCTCTTTAAATTCCCTGACCAATTAGCGACGTCTTCGTAAACGGATAAGGAGGCACGCAACGACGAACCTTTGTCCTTTCTTCGATGCATCTTGGGTCAGATCGGGCTGACTAGAGAGTAGACGATGCTTCGATCGTTAGCAGCGGACATTCTCTAACGGAATTTAACGCGACGAGACTTCTACGATGTCCCAGGAAAGGCAGACGAGCGAGGAAACGGGACGGATCCACCGCTTTCGGGCTATAAGTGTAAACGTCGAGGCAGACAGAAGAAGCGAGCGGAGAATATGCAATCAGCGTGATTGTTTGACACCCCATAATCAACATCCTTACCCCTACCACGTCAGCAGTGTCTTTGTCTCCCCTGTCCCCTATTCTATTTTCTCTTTTCGCCCTCTCGTTCCGACCAACGGTGAGAGGACCCGCGGTCTTCCTCCTCGACCCTCTGCACCACCTCTTCGGGTACTCTTGCCACTGGCAGAGCCTTATTACCCCGATCAAGGCTCGAGATGAGACCCCAGGGAAGAAGACGAGGAACGGACACGGTTGCATTACGAGAGACAGGAGTAATGCACGCTTCTCCATCTTTTCTTCACCTGGACATGCATCCTGGTCCTGGCTGACGCTGCATTTGCGCGGAATTACGGCGTAGAGGTACACAGGCATGCGACGATGATGCGTCGCTTGATGACGGTGAGAGAAGGGCCTGAATTCTAGCTAACGAATGACAGAAAAGCTGGAAAAGATTGCTCGCTTGGTACTTCTTGAGGCGGTTCGAGTCATACTCCGTAAACGCTGCCGAGGCACGATCGTCAGTGATCATGTAGGTGAGATTTAGAGAGCAATCACGATGGGGAGGAGAGACCGGTGGCGAGGCAGAAAGAGAGACGAAATGGCGAAGAAGAAGAAGATTACGAAGAAGATGACGAGGAAGAGGGAGGATAGGTTCGATTCAACAACGTCTGGCATCGCAAGCGAACCGAGCCGAAGACAAAAGGAGGAGCGCAGGCAGCAGCGAGCGGCAAAAACAACATGGATCCAGCTCTCGATCGATCGAGAAGCGATCGATCGATCCCTGGTATTACGCAGACGTGCACGTGAGTAGTACGTGAGTGCACGGTCTGTCTTGTAGGTTGCACCGACTGTAAATTCAGAGGGGATCTGCCCGAGGTGGTCTGCCTCGAAAACACCGGAGAACAGAGAGTTGCCAGGATGGAGTGGGGTGCTGAGGAGCAGGAGGAGGAGGAAGAAAATTGCATCCACCGACGCTCGCCTGCTCATTTCGCACTCTGCGCTCATTCGTACGTGTGCCAGGCCCTTGGATCTGCTCATTAGGCGCGAAGTGGAGACGAAGAAGACGAAGAAGGAGACGGGAGGAGAGATGAATGGACGGACGGTGACTGGTAAACGAAGCATTTCCCCTCTGCCATTTCCATTCATGTGGTAGGCGTGAAAATGGTCCCATTACGACTGCACCGGTTGCGAAAGATAATAGCGAATCGCGAAGAGGTACAACCCAAGCCTCCTCTAGCAGTCGACTCTAAGAATATCCCTCGGAGCGTAATATCGCGCTCGAGTAACGCGTTAAAGAAAAGACGCCAACACCTTTGTCTTGTATTAACCGGCGAAGACAGGGGAGGGAAAGTTTGGCTGCCTGGATGAGGTAATTACAATGGTGGCCGATCCAGCAAGGTGACACGGGTGCAGCAAAGTTGGCCCCGTAGGTAGCACGGGCCTGATCGACGGAGAAGGTAGCGGCGGTCGAAGAGGAGGACGAGGAGGAGGAGATTAGGGCAAAGAGAAACCGCAACGTAGCTTCAAAGAGGTCTTGCCAGCCAGGGGCGCGTCTACTTAACTTTGATCAGGTCGAGACCGCTGATGCGAGACGAGCCATGCAGAAATAAAGTGGCTGCCGAGTTTCCCGCCTTTTTGCATCTTGAATTATCGACTCTGGATACCTCCGCTGACCTCAAAATATCTCTTAAAATTACCAGCAGGCCTTCGCCGGGCCAATTTCGACCCGTTTTCGTGAATTTTTCGCCACGCACGAAACTTAGGGCAAATCTCTGACACCATCTCGTTCGGGAATAATCGAATTCCTGACCGAATCTTTTGGGTAAGCAACCAGAGTGCAGCGGCTCGAGGACAGGACACTTTTGCCTCGTGCTAGGGAGACCCAACGGGTGAATCGTGGCGGGGATCAGCGAGAGAAGAGATGGAAACGGCAGGTTGAATGTCGTTATTACGTTGAATTAGAGGGTGCAGAGCCGGAACGAGGTATGAAACTATTACCTCGCGAAACGGCAGACCTCTCTCTCCTCTTGATCCCTCACCATCGTTTCCCCTCCCCGTGATAGAGGAGAAGGGGGTGGGTGGGGTTTGTGCGTAGTTTCGAGTCGCTCCACGAGCCACGAGGATGCTGGTCGTGAACGAAAGATGATGATGCCCGAGGAATATCCGCTATCGAAACGAAAGGAGCAAACTGACCGGAAGGCACGGTCTTCTATCACCGGAGTTAGCTTAGCTAATCGACCCGGCGTAAAATTGGAAAAGTACCGGAGAAACCTGACGGTGTAATTAATTGGCCACGCGGCTACAGTATTCCGATTCCGATCGATCTTTCACGCTTGCGTCTACGATCGAAAGAAATCGGCGAAAACTGCCCAATATCTGTACCCCGATCATTCCACAAACGAAAGCTAGTCGTTGTTCCAGGTGTCTGTGAAGTGCCTAAAGATCGGGCTAGGTAACGGGTCGCCAGTGGGACCAAACGCCAGGCCAAATGGAACAAGACTCACCACCATGCTGAGGACTGTGCTTGTAGCAATCTTGATGAGCCGAGGAGCCGCTATTAGCGCCGAGGTGTGTACTGGAAGCAGGCGATGCGGTCGGATCGGTGTTGTTGGGGTTGGTGCAGGCACCACTAACCGAATTCGCGGTGACGCTGTTGCCGATGTGATGCTTATTCCTCCTGTACGGCTCCGGTTCTCGTAGATAGGGAGTAAACGGACTGGGTGCGTCGGGGAAGGTCCCCCGTGCCAGTCCAGGAACTCGGGGCAGTGCGGGAACTCGGGCCAGTCCAGGGATGTGAGTTTGCCCTGAAAAAACACGAAGAACGTTTCTCGTTAATCGTACTTCCATCTTTGTCCGTCTTATCGATCGACGAATCTGCTCGCGCTCCGAATAACGCAGCGACGGGACTCTTAACTGTGGTCAAGCGTTTCGGGTTAGCAGTCAGGGGCCCGTATCTTGGGTCTCAAGAAAAATCTTGCTCTCCAAAGCACGGACGTTCGGTAGCCAAGCGAAGGGCGACAAGGAGAGAAGATGTTTGTGCAATTAGCCCAATAGAGAGGGATAATTAAGAAACTCGAGTGGCTCGTGTCCCGATCGACTTCAATGGCATTCCTCGCACATTCCAACCCCCGCCGGCGAATTGATGGAACCCTGGCAGAGCCAAGTATCGCGGTACCTGCATAGTATACACAGCGGACACGGCGACTCTCTATTGGGGCGGCTGCAATATACACGTAGTCCGTGTGTATCGTTATACGGTGTTGCACATTATGCGCCATGTGCATAGGTTCGATTGCTTACGTAATCTCTGGACAGGACATTTCGTGGCAAAATCGCTAGGCTGTGTAACCTTCGGCTTTTGTCCGCCAGGTATCGATCCTTCCAGAGGTTTCCAGTTTTTCTACACTCCGTTTCCCCGAAAAGGATCCTTTCGTTCCGCTTTCCACCTCGAGTACACACGGTTGCACCAAGAAAGAGAGAGAGAGGGAGAGAGAGAGAGAGAGAGAGAGAGAAAGACGACAGAGCTCGCGAATCCAGGGAACCTCGGGATCGTCGTTGATCGAAAGAAGTGGAGCACGTTGCTCTCCTTTCCTCTTGGAACGGGCCCGGGTCGACGGAGAGGAAGCCAAGAATGGGAGCCGCGAGGCGCAAATTGTTATTCCTCCAGCGAGAGAGACGGAACGGAAAGGAGCTGGGCAGAAAGACGAGAGGAGCAGTGGTCGAAGGAGGAGAGCATATCGACTGGCCAACCGGTGGAAGAGAGACTTCGGCCACGAGGGCGAACGACAAATAAAGTTCGACCGCAAACTGCACGAAATTGTCGGTGAGCCCAGATGGTCAGCTCCGGTGCGCCAACCGATGCCTACAAGATTATTCCTCGCTACCGACTACCACGATCGCCGGTCAGGAGAAACAAGGGAGCTCTGTGTTCAGCTCCACGACCGGATCCCACGACTTCTCACGTACCGGACGCTCGTAATGCCCCAAACGTACCGGCCGACACTCTTTTTGGATGGCTCGCCTCGGTGTTTCCATTCAAGAGGAGCAAAGTAGAATGGGATGTAGCGAGGAGGCAGCGGATAATTCAGAATGGATGGTCGAGTGCAACGGAGGTGAGCGAGGTAGAGCACATTCGATCCTACGAGGAAGAAGCTTCAATTATATCTCTCGGAGACTCTTCCCATCGAGAAGGAACGTAGCAGAAGATACTCTAACCAGATGGATACCATGGTATCTAATCATGCTTGCACACGGAACGATTTTCTCGACTATGTAAGAGCGTTTGACGAATCTAACACACCTGAACCAGCGTTTCTCGTGGATCGATCCAGCGTCAAAGCTCCAAGGATCTCTTCGAACGTTAGATCATCAAGGTCTGACTTCGCTATCGCGTCGAGCCTGTTCAGGATATCTGAAAACGTACCTGCTATCCGAATCTAGAAGCGGAAAGGCGGTTAATTACAATAAACAAGAACGATCGTGATATAACACCTTCACCGATTGCCCCTTTGCCTGTTCGTGGAACATGGTGAAGCAGAGAGAAAGAAAGAGAGAGAGAAAGAGAGGGGGGAGAGGGAGAGAGAACAATAATTCCAATCTCCGCAGCACGAGTGGTGGGCTTATCTAATCAAAGTGTGGCAGCCCCGGAGGACGGAAATAGCGCGGCTTTTTCCTCCTCTCTAATAACGGGCCCCTCCCTCCGCTCGTCTTACGTCCTCCTTGACGCCGGGGTCTGCCAGCATTTCGAGAATTTTGCTCCAATCTTTTCTCTTTTCTCCGCTCTTCGCGCTCGTGAAAACCACTTTTGCGTTCTTTCGTCGCATTTTCCTCGCCCAGGAAGATCTACTCGAACAAATGTCCCTTTTCTACGAGTACGTACGAAGAGGACGGGCCCGAAATGTTTCGACGTCTCGATGGAAGGTCCGGAGCAAGTCGAGTTTCGTGACTCGAAATAATTTCACAGCGATTCGAGAAAGCGACGACCAACACCAGTCATTTCTCGTCGATTCGTCACGAAGAGGTGTCGCCAGGTTGCTCTCGAGGTATCCTTGATCACGATTTTTCCAATCTTCCAGCTCCGTGCTCGAAAACGATCGTCAACGTTAAGACAAATCGGAGGCCACTAGCGGGAATTCGTCGAGTCGACTCGTCAAGCATCCAGCTACGGAGATTCTTTCCAATTGCCTGGTAATGTCGACCAATTGCAGACTCGAGACTGGACCATTTCGATGGACGGCTACCGGAGTAATATCGTTCGATAACGCGCGATTTCTCTCGATCCATCCGGATGAACTTGCTTCCGATTCGCTCTAAAATTCACGATCTCTCCGAGGCGTGCTTTTCCAGTCAAGATGATGGCTCGATTTGAACGTTTCCATCTCGCGATACCGTTGCAACCATGTGCTCTACCCAAATTGTTGATCGCGGATTAAGCTTGATTTTTTTCTACCATGGGCAATTTCGCATCACGCGTGCACCACTTAAATCCGGACGGACGTATGGCGGATGCCAAGCATTTTCTATGGAGGGTTACAGAGAAAATGATTTCGAGAGAGACGAACGCGTCGCGTACTCTCGTCTAATCGAAATTCCAAACGCGGAACAATTACTGGCCAAGCAAATTCAATTTCAACCTTTGACTGACAGCGGCCGATCCATCGATATTGTTTTGCCGGGGTTGTTTCGATGATTTTCGGCCACAGTGACGGCTACCCGGTAGCCACTTTGTTTCGCCGATTCCTTTTCCCTGTTCGTTCCAACCGATCCCTGCCTCCCTTTTCCACCGTTTTCATTTCCATTCCATTCTTCCATCGAAGAACCGGGAAATATTTTTCAACGCAATTCATATTCGAACCTCGTTAGAGAGCGACAGAGACGTGTCCTAACTTCTGGTCGTTGACCAAGGTAAAAGCTACTTAGCCGTACCCTCCTTCCTCGCGCGATCGACGAGTCGAAAAGGAAGGGTAACGAGCCTGGATCGTCCCCGAAGTGCAGAGGATCAGGCTAACTGCTACCAACTTCCTTTTCCGCAGTTCCTAACGCGTTCAAACGGTTCCGGTCAGACTGTCGCAGCCTTGGAAGTCCGTTAATCCGGTTACGTGTCGTTCCATGCCACGGTGGCCGCGTTTGCAGTATTTACACGCGCTGACGGGCCGGCGAATTACAGAAATTGCACGATTACCGACGAAACAGCCGGTCGAGGCGAGACCGGGAAAAAGGGAGCGAGCGAAAAATGGGGCGGGGAGGGGTGGTGATTTTCGATAACAAAAAGCTCGCGATTATCCACGCAATAATGATAGCCGGCAGGTGTCTGCGGAGCGGCGCGCTTCGGATCGTTGCGAGGACAATGAAAGCGCCGGTTGTTTTGCCCGACGGCGCTCGTACGCTGGTCGTTACATAGATTGTCCCTGGTGCGTGCCAGGGCGAGGAGGAGCACGCCATCGCTGGCCAAAACTCGTGTATGCAATATGTCGTGATGCGTGTCCCGTCTCGACGTCCGATTCTTTTCATCCGCCACGGAATTGGGGCGGCGGCGATCCCCGTCTGGAATCGTCTTCACGCGTCGAGTCTGTCTGCCCTTCGACGTCCCAGTGGAACTCCTTTGCCTTGCTCCTTCTTCGACTCGCTCCTCGACTCACTCTTCGACTGACCATGGAAGCTTGGATGGTCGCGGGAAGCGGAGGAGAGATCGACGATTCTGCGAATATAGGATCGGTTTGGATTTGTTAAGATTTCAGGATCAGAGGGGACATTGGTCAGCGAAATATCTAAGTTTCGTTACCCACCGTGATTTTTTCATAACCCGATGATATCCACTGACGATTCGACGACAGTTCAAAACAGCGCGGAAAACATCAATTTGCTTGTTTTGATTTTTTTACAAACAAAATACGGCCAAACGTGTCCATCGTGTACAGGGAACTGTCAGCCTCTTCGTGTATTAACAGGTAAATAGTTGGAAATTCTATGCTACCTCCGTGTACGATAAAACTTTGTTACCACCGCAAAATGCTCGCCCCTGTGACCGTGGACGTCCTATGACGTCCTAAAGTGCACGAATATTATAGATTTCCTACCTTGTTCTATCGATCGTTGCGAAACCGGAGGTAAAACGTTAGAAAAATCAATCACGCCGGACCATTTCGAAAAAAATAACGGGGAAAAAAAAATCTGCGAGACCGGTGGGCACGCATCGTACTACGCCTATCAATACTTTATACAACAAATGCGAAACGTCCGCAAAAAGCTGCCGTATTCGTGGTCGACTCCGCAGCGGCTATTAATCTGATATCGAAATAACAGGCATTTTTTTTCCCCCCTACAAACGGAGGCTGAAATTGGTGGCACTCGCTTAAGCTGGAACAATTGGTTCTATATTTTGGAAATTCTCTCTCTTTCCGTCCCTTTGTCCCGACATATCGGCTATCGTCGACAAATATTTATGGAAATAAATTTACATTTTGTGGATCCATTATGTGAAACCGGGAAAGGATAATCAAAAACTGCCGGAGTTCGAATATCCCGACTTTTCCGTTTTCAGCGTAATTATTTTCATTATTGCCACGGTTTCCCACGTATCCAGTTATCCTCGCGGTTTCCCAATTCTCCGTGCGCGGTCATTTTTGAAAAAGGAAAACCTTTCCTTGCCTCGCTTGCTCTTCTGTCTGTCTTCGTTCTTCGTGCATGGTCCAAAATACAGGGAGACACTGGTCGTCGATACGGCGACTAGTCGTCGCTGGGGTAAGATAATATTTGACGAAAGAAACACGTGGAAAAATATGACACTCCTTTGCTGCCGGGTGAATCCTCGAAAGAACGACGAACGCAGCCTAGGAACGTGGATGGTTTCAGTTATTTGTATATCAAGCCCGTATCGCAAATACGCATCATACGACGCCGGTTATTAAGCATGGTCAAGCATCGATAATTAACGGATATTTTTGGAGGTTTTCATAGTATATTACGGTAAGTGGATTACTTTTCACGCGGCAGTGTGCTGGTAAAAGCATTGTCTATGTAGTACGGCTTGGTGAATAGCTAACCCAAAACACGCATACGCGCGGTACGCACGTCGACCACTGCATCATCGCGCACCATCTGCTCGGTAATGACTTCCCATTACCGCGTATAGGGACTTTCGTTGAATTATCGGTACATTTTCAGGGAATCCACGGATAGTAGCAGCCGGTGGCCGCGGATAGATCTCGCGATCCACGGCCTACCAGAGAACGGAAAGTGTTTGATCTACTCACTCGTTTTGGACCGGGGTTCTCTGGGCCCATCCACGGTCACCTTGATGGCTCTCGTGTACGTGGCTACTTGGGGAGGCGTAGTCGATACCGTGATGGTGATGCTGAAGCTTTTTCCTGAAACACAGACGCAGGGGAACGATGAGAAAATGAAAAGGGAAAAAGAAACAGAGAGAAAGAACGCAGCGATACTTCGATGCACAGAGTAATACGATTTGCTAGTTAGAGGAGCAATTTATTACCGATCGAGCTGCAAACAAATTCGCGACAGAGCTGCAGTCTGTGGTCAGCGGGACCACGAGCGAATCCCGATCTAAATACTTTACGATTTCGTGCCGCAATTACATCCACGTCCATTAGGTTTCGAGAGACCGCGAGTTTCTTAGAGCGCGCAGACTCTGAGCGGGACGAGAAGAGGACGTTCGGGGGTGGAGCACCGGTGTGCATATATCACCGACGAAGGTCTCGAAGTTGAAGGTCCGGTATATTAATTCCCTCTCCATAAACGTCCGTCGCGGAGATTGACTACGCTTTCTTAAACGGCCCATCGCGCGCTAATATGCATTCGGTAATTCGCCGCTGCCAGTTCCAACGAAACAGCCCCTTGTTTCTTTCGGCTGCTAAAGTCAACTGGATTATAGCCGTGGTCCTCCTCGACTAACTTTGTGTCGGCACGGTACGATCCACTTAAAAATAGATTGCCTTCGCGTAGGAAGGAGGTGTTGATCGTCTTGTTGCAATCCTTTGCAAAACAAGTCCGTTCGCGCGATTAAAAGTTCGAAGATCGTAGAATCCATCGAAACCAACGTTCCGACGAGGCCCTCCTGGAAGCGTACCCGGAGCATCGTTGCCGACCAACCATCGGGAAAATACGAAGGAGGCACTCTCGGTTTGCGTTAAAGGGTGGATATCTAACGTGTCGCGGACATATAGTCGTTTGTGTTGGCGTAAACGTCAACGATTTGTAATTGTCTCCCCTTGGTGCACCCTGGTCCACCTCGCTGTGTCTGTCAACATGATAACCGGCATCAAACACCCCCAACCCCGCCACCCCCGGGAGCTGCAACTGACTGCAGAGAGGCACGGCGTTATATCCTAGTTATAGCGTGCCCTCTCCCCCGCGTGCGACCGCTCACCCTCCACCCTCTGCCCCCATTGCACCCCCTGAGCCCGCGATGCTGTCGCTCTCGCGCCCGTCATTGCATCCTTGTTATCGTCATCGTTTCGGTCCAGCGCAAAGTGGCTCGTTTCAGAACACCAAAAATCGCGCGTGTCGCGGTTCCTCTTTCTGGCTTCCGCTTTAAAATCGATTAGCTGCATCGATCGCGCGCACGGTTACGTCTGTCTTTTCGCTCTTACCGCGGCCTGCATCACGCGGACAACGTTCAACGTTGATGGACCGGAAAGGGAATACAATTTTTCCACCGTTGTAAACGTAGAAACTCCGTCTAGACCGTGCAACGCTCGTCGTTGCCGTTCCGGATAGTCCCATCGGAGCGAATAGTCCACCGATTCAGCCAATTCCTCGCGAGCTTTTACCGAGGGATGCGAACGTAAATCGACTTCGAAGGACATCTTGGTACGTTGGAAAGCTGCAGGAACTACCGGCGGAACGTGGAGGATCGCGACGAGACTCGGAGAAGTAAGGGACGAAGAGGAAAGCGCGAAAAGAGCGTGAAAAAGGTCGGAAGCTGGTCGAAACCGTATCGTAAGCGATCATAGGAAGGGAATTCGCGCACGACACCCTCGTGCCCCTTTCCCTCCATCGTCGAGTCCATCGCATTTGGGGCTAATAATGCCGCACGGCCGATTTCCCCCACCGATGGCCGGACCTGCGGTTAATACTCGATGATGGGAACGGTCATCTGCAGAGACAGGACACCCAGGCTGTGCATTCGCGAACGACGGACGGACAGACCGACAGACAAAACCGGGCCACGCGTATGTGCCACCTATATAACGTGCACCACATCGCCGGTTATCCAGCGCGACTCCGGCTCGTTTCGGTGTGTCGGTGCGTTTGCAACGGTGCCGAGGATGAGATGAACGCCATCCCAAACCGCCCACACAACCATCCGAAACCACTCGAAACCGTCCGTTAATACTCGTGGCACCAGGGTGAGGGAGGGGAGGGGGCGAGGTTTCGCGTAGGGCTAGGTGGCTACTCTCTCCAAGTGGGAGAGCCAGAAGCTGGGAGATGGAAAACGAAGGGTTCGGTGGAACGGGACGAAGGTCCCGATCCCGAGTCTCGCAACAGGATGTCTCTGCAATTGTCAAATAATTACTATCGGTGGTAATTTCAGCCGTGTCGATATAGACTGCGGTATATTACTAATTATAGGCACGGGCCTGCCTCGGCCCCGACGATGATGGAACGCCCGTTCCAGCCTGCAGCCCCTCTCTTTGATCCGGCGCTACCAGCCACCACCACTCTTTCTTCCCGTTTACGATCGCTCCGGAACATCGTGCCGCGCACCTTCACGGAAGGTGATAATTGCCACGATCTCGCTAGTTTCTTCTCGCCATCCTTTTCTTTCCAACCCCCTCGTCGGTGATCCCGGTACATCGAGATTCTTTCTGCAGTTGCTACGTGGTTTTATATCGTCGCCACGCATCGCCGGTGAACGGGGTCTGCGACCGGCTCGGTGGTGGCTCGGTTCGATAAATTCTTCTTAATATTTCCCGTACGAGGAAATTTCAAGCTCGACGCTTGCGAATTTTCCGTCGAATTCCTTGGACGAATCGGCAATATCGAGGGGAATCGGAGAGCGGTGCGGTAGGATTCAATCAAATTAATAAGTCGCGGAAACAAAACCTCGATGATAGGAGGGTAGGTAGACTGGCCGGTCGCGGCTGGTACGAGGGTGGTTTGGTCAATCGTCGAAATTGAGTATTACGGATTATCGAGGAGAGATAGTGAAAAAAAAAAAAAAAAGGAAAAAAAAAAAATACCAAAACTGGACAAAGGGATCGAAGGATTTCGGCGAGGGATGTGTCCCTTTCGCTAATTGATTTCGGGGATAGCGTGTCCGGTGTCAGGAGGTGGATGGAGCCTCGCTGACCCTGCACTTCATGATGAAATCGAATGAAACATAGATGATGCTATCGACGGACGTGCAGCTCGAATGCGAGCAGTCCGGCTCGTTAATTCATAAATGCATCGTACGGTGCGTGGGGTGCAAAATGCATTTGTAGAACCGGATGAGTTTACCTGCTGGCCCGTAGATAATCGTCGCGGATCGACGTACACGCGTCCCTGAAATCTGCGACTTAATCGGCACAAAAACGGATTATTTAAAAAGCTACCGCTCGATCAATTCGTTTGGCAATCATTTATTAAAAGCCTGGCTCCCGTGGTACGTGTAACTTTGTTCGCGGCTAGCGCGATTTAATTTCCGCATTGAAGCTTAATCTATACCTTTTGAAGCAGTTTAACAATTGCGGTTTTGCGAAGAGTAAATTAATCAACGTAAAGCGTAAACGTCGCCAACTAATTAACGGGACTCTTGATTTTTCCAGTAAATTAACCGACGCCAAGGCGAAAATAAACGACGGATTGATATACGGTTTCGTTAGCCGTGACGTGGAACCAGCTACAAACCATTGATCGGATTTGCTTGATTTTCGAGACTTAGCCTCTTTCTCTCTGGCCGACGGACGATGATTTCTGATTAACGGCCAGTTGTTTCGGATGCTAGGTCGGGGCTACCGGCGGACATCGAGTAATGACTCTGGGGGCGGCGGGATGCGAGGGAACTCGCGGATGCGGAGGGTTTAAAAGCGAGAGACGAGTCGAGCGGGGTTGAGGCCAGTTGATGACGATGATGATTACAATAACCGTGCTTTTAGGGGGTTCGAAATCACGGTACATGCCTCTCTCGTGCAGATAATTTACTGGCTGCTTTTTCCACGACTTACAAAGCAAACTGCCACTGACGATGACACTCGAAACCTCAAAACTAACTCTCTCTATTGGCTCGTTTAATAAGTTGCCTCGAGCTTTGATCGTGTACCAGAATCCTCTAAATTAAAACTTCCTCATACTGCTTTTCATGCTCTATAATATTTGGAGATAATAATGTGATTATAGTATCGTTTTTACGTTGCTACTGAGTAATAGTATAGCATAGTAATAGCAGGAGCGTGATATATTCGACGAGGTGTTCATATTAAAGGAGGAAGAAGAGTTGAAAAAAAAATAATTGCTCCAGGCACTTACCCCTGCCGCTTCTTCCGACGAACCTTAGGTCGTTGAACTTGGCGACTTGGTTTTTCATCAGGGTAGTGGAATTTCTTAGTTCAGCGCAACAATTTTCGTCGTTACCCGCTCGTACTGTCACCAGAGTTCCATCGACGACTTCGCCCAGGGCGACGACTTTGAATGCCACCGGGAGCGTCTTGTTGGACCTCCAATGAGTTGGTAGTTGACTGCAGAGAAAATACGGTGATCCTGTAAAAAATATGGAAATAATCAGTGGTTTTGCTGCAGAAATAAAGGGCACTAATTTCTTTCTATTTCCTTCACTGTCGTTTTGTTACGTTACTGATTCTCGTTACAATTATCGATTACGCATTTCTCAAACGAATATCCAAAAATGCGTAATATTTCAAAATTCTGAGATGGAGAATAAATTTTATACGGAAATTTATCACTCGAAATATTAATACCAACTTTATAGCGGTTTCTAGCTCCATTCCGCGTAATATTATTATTCTCCGTATTTAACCTGAAACTGCGTATCACTAACCTCGTTAACTATCACAGATGTTTCTCACTTTCCTTCTACAGAAACGCACAGAGAATAAAATTACGAATAATATCGTTTTACTTTCACGACGCAGCTATTGCGAGCAGAAAATTTCACTATAAAATGTAATCGCGCACGAAACTTCGAAGGAAAAAGCTTCGCTATGCAATTTGCGTTATACGCACTACTTTCCCGCCCATTCGAACAGAAAATGACGTCATACTTTTCGACCAATCAGCGAGCGTCTTTTGGCAGCCATATTAAAAATAATACGAACCTGTTCGAACTAATTCGCCAGGGTGTTCAGCTTGTGCCTCGCCGACGAGTCTCTCGGTCCACCACAGCTCGCCGACGGCGGCACCCTCGCTCATCTCGCCACCTCCTCCCCCGGCGTCGGCGTCGTCGGCCTGCTGGTACCTGGTGTTTACCCCCTGGAGAGGCGCCAGTGAGGGGCCGCACGGGCCGGCGCCTTCGTGGGATCCAACGGTGGCGTAATTCTCCCCGCAGCCCACGGAACCCACCGGTAGATGCATCCCATCGGCCAGTAGCCGCCCCTCGTCGCCCAAGCACGCACCCTCCGGGCAAGACGTCGTGATTTCACTTGCCTCCTCGATGTACACACTCCACGGAGCCCGCTACCTCCTCCCTGGCTGCTACCAGCAACTCCTCCTCCAGCAGCTGCTTCTCCGCTTCTGGTCCACGCGACGGATATCCAGAATACTTACCAACACGTTCATCGTATCTTCTTCGACACGCGGAATATCCTCGGCGTCCTCGAAATTTCTCCGAGTTCCATGACGAACGTCCTCGCTACTGGTTTCCCGCCAACGCCATGACAATATTATCGAGTATTGACGTAACACCTCCAATGAGAATCTGGTCCTCCCCTCTATTGCACTTTTAGTCCGCGAGGTGTCACTGTGTTTAGATCGATGCACGGATCTATGACCGGTTTACTCTCAAACTAATCACTCGTCGAAGACGTAACACGTTTTACCGCGATTCGGAGCTCCTACAGGTTGCTGATTGGTGGACGCGGTCAGATGCTTCGGATTATCTGGCACGAGTCGATCTACTGACAGGTCAGAGGAGAACCTTTCACTTTTGTTTCGCGATCGGGGTTCGATATCGAGCGGAGACACGGTCCACGATGGTCGTTTGTGTCGGAAAAACACGGTGAGTCAAAGTGGTTGTAGAGGTTCGGAATGAGACACGTTTATAGGAACGTCAGTCGCGTTCGACGGTGCGCGACGTAATGCCGGCGGCGCGGCTTCAGCCGCGTGTTCCGCGTAAGCGGCCCGGGACGGCCTAAGCCTCGCAATTCCGACGCTCCCCACCGTCGACGTCGTCCTCCCGCTGCGCCTCGACGCTCCCATATCCCCACTGTCAGATCGCCCGCCCTCCGATCGTGTGGACTCGTTTTCTGACCAGTATTCGCGTTCTTCTATTTCTCCGCTTATTTATATGCAATCTATTTTCATATGGAAAGTTTCTGGCTAATTTTCGGCGAATCTGTTGCGTCGTTCGATCACTCGGAATTTAGATTCGTCATACGGAATAATCGAATTGGCAGGTAAACGATTCGATTCACACATATATTTGCTTTTGTGCGTTTTAACCTAATTGAATAAGGGCGCGTAAATTAGGTTAGGCAGCGCCGCGTAACGGAAGGGAACAGAACGATTTCGATCGATGAGACGTTCGATATATTTACGATAATCGCTGCACTGCTCGCGATTCTCGAAGTGCTAAGGCAATGACGTCACGTCGATGCCGTGTCAGGTGACTCGTATTTGCAGCGTCTTCTAGAAGTTTCTTGTAATTTTGAGTGAAAAGTTGTACAAACTCTTTCAGATTTAAGGATAGAATGTTACCGAATGCGTACGATTCGTTGCTGGATTCAAGAACAATTAGGTTAACTGGGTTTAGAGATCAATCGTAGAGTGTCGTGGCTATTCGTTCGTCTTAACCTTTAAGTGTGTAAAAATCGAAAGACACGAGATAATTGTAACAGGCTAATAGAAGGAAAATATCCCGAAGGCCACTTATAAAATGTGAAAGGTAGGTAAATGCAACCTGCTTCGTTGCTACGTCGAATTTACGGGAAATCCTATGTGTCATCGTAGTTGCTAGCTATAATTGTATTTAATTGTAAATTTATTTGCATATGAAAATAAGCCAGATTTCGCATCTGATGAAAAGCCGATTCGACGAATTACTATCAACGTACTTAAAACGTGCGATGGTACGACGACAACGTGGAGTGATGCACGATGTGCCTAAACCGATTCATGGTAATTAATCGTTTCTCTACAGAATCTTTTGGCTAGTTGTAACACCGATAAGGAGGAAGTAGTATCCTCGAAATTCCACACGTTATCGTGTTATTTTCAAAAGCGGACCAATCTTTCAGCACCCGTGATATCGTAATCGTTGAATTGTTGGAGACTCTTATCCTTTTCTGAAATAATTGGTAGTCGAAGTGTTCGGGGATTCCAGCAATTCCTAGTAACACGAGGATAATATTTGCACACGCTATCAGGAAAGTTATTCAGTCTTCCACGAAGCAAGAGAAATTCTAACCTATACAGGTACGTTATAGGTTAACCTTCGATCTATTTTTCGTAGCGCTATTTCATCCATTTCAAAGTCAAAAAGTGTCACGCGCGATCTGAATTATGAGAAATAAGGTGCAATAAATTATGATAATTCTTTTAAGACGCATGATAGATAAGTGGCGCGATGAAAGACATTCGTAAGGGTTGAAAAGGGTGACTTTTCCAGGTTGGCAAGGTCCAAGTGGCAATCCAATGTACCAGCAAGGCGTAACAAGTGTCTGTGTGACGTCACGCGGCTTTCTGGAGGCGGAGCCTGTGATTGGGGGAGCAGGTGGGGGTGGGACTCTCCCGCATCGTGGATCGTTTGCCCCACCCTCGGGATTTTGTTCCTTCGTACCACCGCCACCTTCAACCTCCTCCTTTTCTCCCCCGTGGTCTCTTTTTCCCTCTTTTGAACTTTGTTCGGTGACCCCCCACCAGTCTGCACTCCACCAGGTAGGAAGCTGCTACCTCTGATAGCCATTGCAAGATGCAATCCAGGTGGAACTTATAGAACTGTATCTTTGGTGGGATATCTTTCCTCTAAACTGGCGCCGGTCGCTGCTAATAGGCGTACGAGCAAACTGAATTATGATCGATGGGTCTAGGATAGGTCGGGCTTTTTTCAAGAGCTGCACGAGAGGCGTCCTTGCTCCAATTTGAAAACCAATGATAGTTCTCGTAAAATCTTCATCCATTCCACAGTTAATTTTTTGGATTCCCTTGTTAAACATAACGGAGTAAATTTAATAGGCAATTACGTAAGAAGAAATATGGTAAGAAATTATGTATGCCTCAAAGAACGTTTTATAAATTTCGAACATGTTATTCCTATTATACTTATCAACCAGCTACTTTCTGATCAATTTCAATTAATTTTTTAGGTACACGGATTCTACAATTGCAGAAGTTCCTTGAGCAAGCTCCAGTCAAGCGTCCGCCTGCCTCCTTGAAGCTACTCCGGAAGTGTCAAACGTTTCAACGTGACGCATCGATTTTTTTTCCATACCTCCGTAGAAGCTGATACGAATTTTCCCAGAACATATACGCGAAAAGATGGTGTAAGGCGCTTTAAAGGTCTGCGCCGGCGTGTTCCCGCAACGCTACCGTTTATTGCACTGTGGTCTGCTAAAGTGCAATCGAGGAAGCAAAATGCGGTTTCACTCGTTCGTGCGGGGCTCGCAAGAATGTAATTAACCCCTCGGAAGTGGCACGGTGCTTCGACCCGTGGCCGATTTTACCTGCGTTTTCTTATCTCTCTGTCTTTAAAAGCGAGAAGCGCGGTCGAGAGACACCTCGCCGATCGGTTTTGTCGGTTCACACCGATATACCGCAAAAATCGGGTCTGCGTGTCGTGTCGTGAAACCGCAATTACTTACGCGAAAGACGCCGGCCAGATCTATCGCAGTTGTCACGTGTGTTTATGGTTGTACAGCCACGATGTAATTCCGTTTCTTTTTTTTCCAGATTTTTCTAATTTTCAGGTTTAGCAACGGACGTTTCTTTCAGTGGCGCTGTTATACCTTTGATTGGGTAGCTTGTTTCTTTTAACACGAGATTGGACGAATCGTGTGGTGGTTTTACTCCTTGGCTAAGCGTATTTTATGTAGTATATAGAAAAAGATATTGTTATTTGACTTACGAACTAGGGATCAGCTCGGCTCTGTAAGAAAGTTCTTTAGGATAAGATTTTTTTCAAATAAGGGGTTGTGCGATATTTTTGTAACAGTGTAAGATTGTATGGCTCGAGCGCCATGAGGTGAGCGAGATAACAGATTAACGGTCAGGGGGAAAAACAGAAACATTTTTTTTTACGCTTTTTATCAGGATGGCGATATCGCTTGGAAACGAGCCACTTCCAGCGCCACCGGAAGGGCTTCGTAAGACATGCTTATCGACAACTTTGTTTTCAGAAAAAAGTGTCTCGTAGAAAGAACTTTCCCCTGATAGTGTTCCGCTTTCGGTAATTGTCAAATTTTTAATGCGATATGTACCTCATTAATCATATTCCACGTCGAAATAATCTTTAGTCCGGGCCATGCAGATCTGCTTCCTTTGATATTTTCTTCCAATAGGAAGTACACAGGGAACATCATCGGTAGAATATTTTCTGAAATTCCAAGGAACCAGGGTCGCAGAGGAACATTCAACGTTTCTGTTATCAAATATATCAGAGATAAATTTATTAATATTTTCTAAGGACCTTTTCGCTAGAGTTAGGGGACAATTGTGTCTCAGAGCAAGCACCGTATAAACGGACGTAAGTTAATCTGCCTTTCGCGCAAAAGCCGAGCTAATGAACTATAAATAAGGGAGGAATACTTACGGCAAGTGGACAGCCGCACTTACTGACCCTTCGTAATTAAAATCCCGCCCTAAATCAGGACTAGGGACGCGATTAGACGACCTCTCTTCCTCTGCTCTGTAAAACCCAAATCTGCGACCCTTAGCTCCTTCGACCCATTGTCCCATCGTTCTTACGTACACGCACTCTGTGTACCATTCGAACACCCTCGTTTTATTCATATAGAACGCGGACGTTTCGTTCGATATATGTTCCAGTAGAAGTTTGCATCGTATCGCAGTTATTCGAATTTAGCTGCAATTCCAAGGATTGGAACTTCAAAACTCGTTGTTCTCACAAACTTGCCAGGGATGTTTTTAATGATACTTTTAATAAAGTTTAAAATTATTCCGATGCGACGATAATTGTCTCATGGTACTGGCAAGTATTTCCATTAGATGAAACAAGCAAAAGTGGTGACCCTTCGTGACTATCCGCGGAACAATCCATGCCGTTTCCGTTTCCGTCGATGCAATTCCGCTTCCGCTAATCCAATTGCAAAGCGTGCAGCTAATAATACTCGCTGGGGTGGCCACGCGATTACGGGAAGGGGATGCAGTCAAGGAATATAACAAGCCTATGAAAGAGGGTGGTCGATTTGGAAGACAAATGATTATCATTATAGTAATATTTTTCACTTAATAAGCAGCTGTTCTTTTCCACAGTTTATTCGTCGTTACTGCATTTTTCAAAGCTGAATTCAAGGAAAGACTGAAATCATGGGCAGAATATCATGCACAGCCAGGATGGAAATTTAAATGTTGCTAATCTTTTCATGTACCTCTTTGTGGGCATAATTAATCCAAATTTATGGTTTGTTTTAAACGTTAATTGAATTAAATTTTTTACTTGAAGGACGGCAGTGAGAAGGTAGAAATGAACTGGACGGACAGGAAATAACGCAAAGGGAAGTGATAATTATAGGTATGAGGAGTCGAAATCTCGACTTTTACCGTATGAAACGAATGAAGGACAGGGCGCGGCGCGCACACACGTACCATTATCTTCCACCCTTGCGCCCCTTCTGGTTAGCCATACTTTCCACGACCACCGACGTAGATATGTATGTCCACCCTTGTATGGTCCGTTAATAAGCTTAATAAACCCCCTGTGCGACTACCTCTCTCTAGTGTCCACTGTATTCTAGATTCCGGGGATGCAGGGATGGTTCTTGATTCTCGGTCTTCGGTAAATTGTGTTTGGTATTCCGACCGTCCACCTCATCTGAAGGTATATTTGTAATGTTACCAAAAAAGTTGCATTTATTTAACTTTTATTAATAACGTTAATTCATCTTGTTATGGAGCAGAAATAAGTCGAACAGTTTAAATAATTTTTTATAAATGTTCTTTAG